ATATCACTCCAATCCTGAAGGATCTACACTGGCTACCAGTGCAGCACAGGATTACTTTCAAGATCCTCTGCTTAGCCCACCGGTGTCTGTCCGGCATCACTCCAGGCTACCTACAGGACCTCTTGCCTATCTATCTCCTCCTCGATCCCTACGCGCTGAGTCCAAGCTTCTGTGTCGCATGCCCAACATCAAGACTGTGAGATATGGCCAGCGTTCCTTCTCATATGCAGCGACATCCGCGTGGAACAGCCTCCCAGAATCAATCAGAAGATCTCTAAATCTAATGTCTTTCAGACGTCAACTCAAGACCTATCTCTTTCAGACAGACAGACAGACAGACATTTTATTCAGTAATAGGCCACTGGCCCAAAATACATTCATAAATATAATACAAAGTTACATGCGTTTTACCAGGGAGACTATATAATGTTGTAGATTATCCCTGGTTTTACATAAAAACATCAGAATCTCATATTTTCCCAACATTATATAAAAATAGGCACAAATTATTTATAACATTTATGTTTTTTGAAGTCATTATGTTTATAAAACTGTGTTGTGAAATAGGATGTTTCAAATATTTACCCAGAAACTTATTCCTTATATCTAAGTAGGCTTTACAATAAAGTAAAACATGTATTTCATCTTCAATTAAATTAAGATCATTTTTGTAGCAAAAAGGACAGAATCTTGAATAATAAGGTACATTGTTATATCTACCGGTCTCAGAGCTAAGTTTAAATTTACCGCATCTAAATTTTGTTAAACAATTTCTTAAATATGGGGCAATACCTAAACTGAGATAAGTTTCAACATTCAGGAGGGACTTGAAAAGAATATAATTAGAACACTTGGTTGTACTATGTAGGGATGAGTACCAATCTTGTGAAAGATTATCAGACAATCTTTGCTTAAAAACAGAATCTCTTTCAACAGCTCTGAACTCTTTTTGTTTGACAGTGCGCTTCGAGCATGCATCAAGCATGGAGTAATGCGCAATACAAGTGGCCTATAATTATCATTATTATCATAAATTGTATCTAAGTGACTTACACCATTCTCACACCTTTTCCTGTTTATAGCAAAATCGGGGAGTGATATTCTCATTTTACAGAAAGCTCTTCTCAGGTCTCAATCCTTTAGCGATGTTATATACGTTTCCGGTTGTAGAAGGGATAACTTCACTTGTTTATAGTGCTCAAGAAAAGATGAACTATTGATTGAATAATGCCAGTCTTGTAAGGATATATCAATTTGCGCTGCTTGAAAATGTAAAGAAACTGTTTCGGATCACCAACATCTTGAGGCAGCCAAACATAGGAACAACCAGTCACAACCAATAAACTTCGGACATTAGACGCCCAGGTGTGTCTTCCATCCTCGTCCAATTGTTTCAAGATAAAATAACAATTGTGTGGATATCTCCGTGTGTCTTGTCTTAGAAGACGAAGCCATATTTAATTACTTTACATTGGCCACAAACATGCATGGTGTAACAGTTTCTCCAAGAATCGCTAGCGCTTTATTTGCCGCAAACGTAACTCCTAAAATCTCTTGAAGTAAGACACATGATTTCCTCGATAGATTCCTGGTAAGCAGAACCCTATATTTCAGATGAGTACAGCAGTATTGGAGATATCTTGGTGTCAAACAATCTGCACGCTGTGGAGAATGGTAAGTCCTTACACTGTCTAAATAGCTGATATGCAGGTAAGACAGCTTTTCCTGCCTGCGACACCAGTGTTTGGCAAGCTTTTGACCATTTTAATACGCAGAACAACAAACCAAGATATTTGCAATAGGTTACAATCTTCAAAGATTTCCCACGTACTGTCCATGGTTCATTCTTTGCAACAATTCCACCTTTCCTAAATACGATAATGTTATTTTGTCCATGTTACCACAACTATAGTCTGTTTGCAGTGAAAACGTACCGATGAATTTCACTCTTAACAAAAAAGTAAATCGATTAAAGCGAAATTAAGATTGCGAATCCTCATAATTTTACCTTGCCAATTGAACATTCAAATATCAGAATTTTATTGAACTAAGGATAAAAGTTGTTTAACAAACGTTCATAGTTTCAAATCGCTATTATTGGTTTGTATTACAAGAGGGTATGCACATTAGATGAAACACCGAGAACAAGTAGGGTTGGTCTAAGTTAACGCTCATCACGTACCGCACGTGCATTTGTTTCACTGTTCCATCTACTGCGCTTATCCCCTTGTAATACAAACCAATAATAGCAATTTGAATCTATGATCGTTTGTTAAACAACTTTTATCCTAAAACTTTTAAATGTTCATTTGGCAAGGTAAAATTATGAGGATTCGCAATCTGAATTTCACTCAATTTGATTTACTATTTTGTTTAAAGTGAAATTCATCGGTACGTTTTCATGCGAACAGACTATATAAGGAGTTGCTTGCACGAACGTAGTCTGAAACCAATTCCATGTCAAGGAACACATTACCATTCCCAGCATTTGGCTTTACCCATGTGGTTAATGCTTCCAAATGCCATCATATTCAACTTTGTAATTCTAGTTGGCCAAAGAAACTTTATTGTAACTTTGTACTTTTCTTTGGCTGTTCTTCCATGTGGATTCTACGGTCACAATATAATATAACATGAACCTGTCTCAGTGACTCGAATAAAAGGGATCGGCAGGTGATGCATAGGACTTTTATTTGCACAAAGCGTGGATGATTTTAATCACTGACTGCCTTAGTCCAGAATCGATTACTTTCACGTAGTGCTAAAAAGAATATTGCTTCATAACATGCTGTTGACTCAATCACTAGCACATCTGACCTGTGTCTCTTACAAAAAGGTTGTTTCTAACATAATTGACTTCCGTTGACTGAAGATCAAGATTATTCCTAGAAGAAGGCAGCTGGCCCTCCGAATACGCTTTTTGGCAAACAATTAAAAAGTATGTTATATCCCTCAATTTAATAAGTAATCACTTGTCTATTTGAACAGTGTCTCTCACGAAAGGTTGTATGGAAAAAGGGATGATTTCAACTTTCCAAGAGTCAACTTCCCTTTCATGTCGGGCAATATTCCAACAGCTCCAAACCCATGCTTGCCACTAAAGGAGACAATGCTTGTCGTAAGCGGCGACTAACGGGATCGGGTGGTCAGGCTCGCTGACTTGGTTGGCACATGTCATCGGTTCCAAATTACGCAGATTGATGCTCATGCTGTTGATCACTGGATTGTCTGGTCCAGACTCGATTATTTACAGGCCATCGCCATATAGCTGGGATATTGCTGAGTGCGGGGTAAACCTAAACTCACTCACTCCCAACAGCTCCAGCCTTTGGTGTTTACATTTCACAACTTTTTTGGAGGCTCAATCGGTCGTGATATTTTTAGCAGGATTTCAAAGAGCGTCATGCGACTCCTGCTCGGAAGTTGTTTGATCAAGGTTACAACATTCAATGCGTCAGTAAGGATTTCAAGAAGTTTTATGGTAGACATGTGGTGGACATTTCCAAATTTGATGCATCAGTGACAAAACTTATACCATTGACTTATACCATTCGTTCCCGAATTATTTCAGGTGAACAATTGACTAGACTTAGAATATGTTTATGAAGGGTGCCACGGGTGGGGCAGGATACGCTCACCTTTTCGCGAACACCTGGTATCATAACTATTTCATAGTGATTCATAAACACATGCTCTGTCATCGTATCGCATGGTGACAATCACTGTATTGCCGGGTTCCGACTCCATCTGTTTACAAACAACAGCGTACAGCTGTAATACTGCTGAAACAAATATATACTCATGATATAGTCACAATTGTACATCGATGTTCATGGTGTTGATCACGGGATTGTCTGGTCATGGCTCGATTGTTTACAGACCGCATATAGCTGAAATAATGTGGAGTGCGGCGTAAAACTAAACTCATTCACTCACTCACAATTATACAGTTGACTGTGCTTTTAGCAGAGATTTCAAATGAATGTGGAAAGGGTTTTGCCGTTTCTATTCTGACATAGTTGACTTCCGTTGACTGAAGATGTAAAATCAGTTATTGGTCCTCAGAATACGCTTTTTACAAACAACAAACAAGTGTGTTATTCTCTCAATTTAATAAGTACTCACATAGAGAATTGTAGGCTGATTAATGATGTTTTCCCTGCTCTGTACATATAAATAATAATATTCTTTGCATGAATCAATATGATAAATATTTACTTCTGTTGATCTAATTGGCACCAATCCATCAAATCAGTTTACAAATTCTTAACACACCACATACTCACACACATGTACACACACACGCACACGCGCACACACACACACACACACACACACACACACACACACACACTCAAACACTTACATACGAGCATACACACATTCAAACCTTGCAATTTAGTTCATCCCAATCACTGTTTTAGATTGTACATGTATATTCAAAGGAGCTTGTGTCAGTTTTGACCAGGTTTAAGTTTCAAATTGCATCACTCATAAGGCACTAGATATGACTGTTAGCTACCTCACAACCAACACAAGTGATAACTCCTTCACGTGGTTAGCTTACACCGATTTAGGTCTTGGCCAATTGACCATTTACCCTTGATTGTACCTGAGCAATTATGAATAAATTACCAACATTAATGCATGTTCTTAACCAATTATGAGCGTCGTATGTATATGATAAAATAGTATACTACCCATCAAAAGTTTAGACTCACATAAAGCATTTGCTATATGTTATGTATATATATATGTGGTTACATCGAAGATGAATTTGTCCACTAACTTGAGGGAACCAACTGCAAACCTTATGCAGATGGATTGCATGAGGATCATGTATCAAATTGCTGAAAAGCATGTGCAAATATCGTGCATGTGACCAGCTGCGTTTTGGAGTAAAGTTTTGTTAAGAATTCGCCAATGTTCACTGAGTTTCATCATTTATGACAATAATCTTTTCGACGTTACGAATTTGTTTTACAATACATCAGTTCATGTGTAAACAATACCTTTAACCAGTATGGAATATTTTGCAAAATCTAGTTTAGAATAGTTGACTGAAGTAAGTGGCTACATTTACACTAGTGAGTCTAAACTTTTGATGGGTAGTATATGTAAATGTATGCTATTCTGAACGTTCTGGATCAAACTCATGATCATGTAGGCAAAGAACGTCCATCTGGCACCATGGACCTATTGAGCCACAATAGATTAATGGTCTACTGCACCACTTGTCGAAGCTCAACGTGTATAGGTTGATCCAGGAACCAAATCGACCCTTCTCTGACAATGATCTAGGTTTGTTAAGACGTTAGACGTTGCATCACAGCTTCTACAGGCGGCGATTTGGGTGAATTCCCCCAACAGTAAGATGGCCGCTCAAGTTGGATTTGAAATACTGCGTCCAGCAACATTATATCAAACTCTGCCACAACTCCGAAGTGTTAAAGAAAATGGAATATCGTTGTAATGACACGAAGTCATGAACAGTCAAGCGTTTCAAAATACAGAAACGTGAGATAACATGAGGTAATATCAAGGCATCAGGAACTATGTGGTAACAAGACAATATCATGTTTCTAGTCACCTGACATTACAATCACTTCACCATCAACATCTGTACCTATTCACATCTTACATAGCGTAAAACATTTCTTACCGTGTTACTGATAGGTCGCATTTGACCTTCCCACAGAAAACAGTTATTATTTCTATTCTCTGAAAGGACAAAAAAACCACAAGAGATGTTTCCTAACCTCGAGAAATGAGCAGATGCAGTTTATGAATATTGAATATATTCTTAATGCTTAATGCTCTGGATAACATAACGTCAACTGCAGAGTGTCATTCGAGTCGATTATCTGTCAAAACTACCATTGGTAGTAAATGGGAAATAGCAGAGGAAATTGATGTAATCCCTGAGAATCGGTGATGACATCAGGTTTGCATGAATTACCGAGTTGTGCTTTCATTGTGATTAAAACAGCTGAAGGGAGCCCTTGTGAAAATAGTTTCTTCTGTCAAACATTAACGAACACTCTGTAGACATAAATAGTCCCTGGCACACGTCCTTTTCAAAGACGATAGATTCATCTTTGTAATGAATCACCTCACAATATTCCACTGTTTCTTCAATTTATTGTCACCGAAGTAGGCCACTGTAGAAACGTATAAACGTCACTGCTCACAGTCTAGCGTTACGTTGCCAACATGTCAAGTAACAAGGGACTTTGCTGCACAGCAGGCCACAAGTACAGGCTTTTGGCTATCTTGTTGTTCCACTCCGTAAGGGATCTGACAGCCGTGAGCCGATCTATGATCTTTGCGAATCTTATCATCGGTTTCGAATGATATTTATGTTGAAGCAGGATCAGGCATCTGATGACTTTCCACTGGATTTCCTCCACCTTTTCAGGCTGTGCTAAGTCACACCGGTCTGCAATTGAAAACAACGACTGCTAAGTCATCTTTAAGTCACTTTTCCCTGACAAACATGAACACACTTAAAGAAGTTTCCCTGACAAATTTTATTCCAGTTACTTCATCTGAACACCACAGGGCTTTTATGTGCTTAATAATAGTGATACTAGCAATTCTTCAAAACGAATTCCCCATCCCCCTTCTACAGTGAATGACATAGAAGTGTTGAACCTACCTGTGAATAGAATACACAATGTCTTGATCACCACGCACTCTTCTACACTGAGCTTGAGCGCTTTCAGCGAGTCAGCGAAGTTAAATGCTTCAAGCATGAAGTCCTCATCCCATATCTTACATATCTCATGGAGATGTAGACACTTGCCCGACGATGTACTCAGTACGTTCAGTTTGCTGTTATATCCCCGGAAGCTGCCCAGAAAGAAGAACTCAAATCTCGCACCTGAAGTAGGAACAAAATAGATGAGTTGGTCAGTCGAGTGAAGAATACACGAGGACGACAGATCGGAGCAAACATTCAGACAAACTCATGAAATGAGTTCAAATGGAAAACTCATCCTTGTCCTTCCAATCGTTACTTCTTATACAAACACCCCTGTCTGTGTTTCCTCATCTCAACTGAACATCGCTTCAACAGGACAGGCTGCAAAAATAGTCCTGTTCTTACATATACGATGGATAATTGTTCCGAGCCACGACGCACTCATTACATACAAAGTTGCACATACCATATTCATAAATGATATTGTTATTTATATTAAACTATTGTTCTGAAGGTCATCTGCATTTGAATTGATCTGTCAAATTAAAAGGACTGAACACATCTCTCCTGCCCTCAAAACTCTACATTGGCTTCCAATTCGCTTCAGAATCGACTACAAAATCCTGTTCCTCGTTTTCAAGTGTTTAAACGGTCTAGCTCCAAAATACCTCTCGGATCTCCTTACACCATATCACCAAACTAGATCACTCCGCTCAAGGGACCAGTCTCTCCTTGAAATACCACAAACTAGAACTAAGTCATATGGGGACAGGTCTTTCTCTAGAGCAGGACCCTTCCTCTGGAACAATTTACCATCCATCCTTCGTTCCGAAACAGAACTGTCAAATTTTAAAAGTGGACTCAAGACGCACCTATTCACCTCTGCACATGGATAAAGTGGGCTCAGATAGCGCTTTTGAGCTTTACAAATATTTGTATGTATGTATGTATGTATGTATGTATGTATGTATGTATGTATGTATGTATGTATGTATGTATGTATGTATGTATGTATGTATGTATGTATGTATGTATGTATGTATGTATGTATTGTATGTATGTATGTATTTGTCCAGGGTATTTGAAACAGAATGTTTGAGGGGAAGACTTATTATTCAATTCATTGGTCAACTCTCCCAGCTCAAAAAGTACAATTCACTTATTTCAGTTATTGACAAAATTATCAGCAGTCAAATGAGAACAACATTGAACCAGCTGTTTGCATAGAATGCTTAAAAGGCAACCGTGAATAAGAGAAAACATTGACAAATCATCCCACATTCATATTACACAAAATATCATATTGTATATATATATGTGAACAAGCACATTTATTAAGAAACACAATATTTCGATTTCTGGAGCCTGTAGAATATATGAGTGAGCGTAGTTATTCTTTTAGATTTATGTACCATCTCATTTCTACCTCTCTCCCATGTACAAAAAAGACAATTTGTTTTACAGTTGGAATTTGCAAAATACAAAATGACTACCCAGACAAACCCATAGAAGCACACAGCTTCATGGATAACGTTTTCAGGGAACAGTATGTTCGCGACATACATGACTTGTTGGTTCCAGCTGTGACGTGTTCTGAGCATGCCCTCGTTACATAGTACATGATTGCAGGTTAAAGTCATCAATATCCCCCGCAATGGCAAAATACTCTTCATCATTATGTCTACGAGTTATGATTATGTCAAATATTTAGGTGTGTATATAGAAAAGTGGAAGGAGAGTATTGAAAGGTTTTGAAAGTTCTGCTCCAGAAAGGAGCACTATCACCAATTTCAGTCAAAGTCAAACTTGTTGCCATGGAAACGCCACAAATATTTTATTCAGAATTCCAAAACTACCAAAAGGCACAAGTACACCACCAGATCTATCTATGTGCAAGTTTGGTGAAGACATATTGAACGGTTTTAGAGTTCAGCTCCGGAAAAGAGCACTACCACAATTTCAGGCTAAGTCAAAATTGTTGCCATGGAAACGCCACAAATATTTTATTCAGAATTCCAAAACTACAAAAGGCACAAGTACATCACCAGATCTACTATCTAAGTGCCAAGTTTGGTGAAGAAATATTGAACGGTTTTAGAGTTCTGCTCCGGAAAAGACAAATGTGCACGGACGGACGGACGGACGGACGCACGGACAGAGTCCATTTTAATACCCCCCGCAAAACGCGTTGCGGAGGATAATTAAGGTAAGACTTTGGGTGAATACCGACCGGAATAAAGAAAACAAATTCTAGAATGACTCTCTTGGTTGTAATGCCAAACACCCACACCTTGCTAAATGCTGTAGAACCGGTGACACTTGCCTTTAATGAGATTTGCCTGATCATCTGACGATAATACCGTAAACCCTGGAACCGCCTTCACGAAGCTGATGTATCGCCGTATCCCAGCTTCCATCGATGCAGCAAAAGCCCTCATCATTTCCTGGCGGTTATCGATATCAATCCCAGTTGACTGGTAAATCTCATCGTACTGCTCGCGTGGCAAAGTGGTCATTGGTCCAAACATGTCCACCTTCAACTTGTATTGCTCCTGCAAAGACCATTTCAGTAAGATCTCAATATTACAACACTGAGGTATCATACAGTTTCAATGACAAGGTCGTCATTGGTCCAAACATGTCTACCTTCAACTTGTATTGCTCCTGCAAAGAACATTTCAGTAAAATCTCAATATTACAACACTGAGGTATCATACAGTTTCAATGACAAGGTCGTCATTGGTCCAAACATGTCTACCTTCAACTTGTATTGCTCCTGCAAAGAACATTTCAGTAAAATCTCAATATTACCACACTGAGGTATCATAAAGTTTCAATGAGAAGGCAGTCATTGTTCCAAACATGTCTACTTTCAACCTGTATTGCAACGAACATTTCAGTAACTAAGGCTTTGGTCTCAATGTTACCACACTGGGGTATCATACAGTTTCAATGACGAGGTCTTCATTTGTCCAAACATGTCCAACTTCAATTTGTATTGCTCCTGCATGGAACATTTCATTGACATAGGCTCAGGGCCCCGTTCCTCAAAGCGATCGTAGCGCTACGACAGTCGTAAGTCTATGTTAAAGTATGGGAGTTACGATCATCTTAGCGTTACGATCGCTTTGAGGAACGGGGCCCAGGTCTCGGGATTACCACATTGAAATATCATACAATTTAAATGGTTGTAAGAACAATTGTTCAATCGTAACTAATGTAATATTTGGAATATAACATTTTTTGGTAAAGTGCATATTGTATTTCTGTCTGCTGTTGTGACTAATCTGAGATTCTAACCCCAACTCTCAGAGTTAGGCACTTTCTTCCCAGCTTGTCAGAAACCTAAACCAGCATAGTAACGAGGCTTCCACAAAAGGGACTTGAGGCAGTAGCTAACCAAGATACATTTGGGCACTAGGTATTGTTGAGTTCACTACTTTCTCAACAGGCATTAAATAAAAGCCAATATTTTTCTCTACTGAATTAGAGTGAGGGCATGTGTTTAAGCTGTGAGACTAATCAGAATGTTTGTCAGCGGATCCTGATAGCCTGGATGGCTGCTCATGTTTTCAGCCACTGGTTTATCTGATATGAGTGAGTGAGTGTTGTTTTACGCCGCACTCAGCAATATTCCAGCTATATGGCGGCGGGATGTAAGTAATCGAGTCTGGACCAGACAATCCAGCAATCAACAGCATGAGCATCGATCTGCGCAATTGGGAACCGATGACATGTGACAACCAAGTCAGCGACTCTGACCACCCGATCCCGTTAGTCGCCTCTTACGATAAGCATGGGTTACTGAAGATCCCCTCCGTGGTGTAGTGGTTAGAGCGTCCGCTCGGAGAGCGGAAGGTCGCGGGTTCGATCCTCGACCGCGTCATACCAAAAGACGTTAAAATATGGTACTTGTTGGTCCCTGCCTGACGCTCGGCATTAATGGGTGCATCAAGGACTGGTCGGCTCGGAGTCAGTATAATGTGTCTGAGTGGGGTATTCATGCTTCACTGCGGCATGGTATCTCGGTGGGCTAGCACTATAAAACCAGCTTCAGTCTGGGATAGTACAAGCAGCCGTACATACACATATACACGCATGCACGTCGTCATATGAGCGAAATATTCTCAAGCACGACGTTAAACCCAATTCCACCTCACCTCACCTCACTGAACTGAACTGAACTGAACTGAACTGAAGATCAATATTCTAACCCGGACCTTCACGGCTATTATCTGATATGGACTCGATCACCTACATACGACCGTGACCTATTAACATAAAACATGTCTACACTAGATGTTTGTTTGTTTTAAAAATCGCATCTTGCATCAATGTTTTCACCTGAGTGCAGAGTACCAGAGCTAGCCTACAGTGTATGTTTTCTACTCAATATGCCACAGTTACATAACACAACAGCAATATTGCCAAGAGCGGTATTACATAATGCTCTCTTATCACTCACTTAAGATTCACATCTTCTGAATTCCATATACCCTGATATACTAATATAACTTTGACCAAAGAAACGAACACTTGGAAATATTTCGGATGTAGAATATGTTAAGAACTTTGTATTTACAAAATGTGTTTGTGTTAAATGTGAAATGTTTGTGTTAAACTCTCTAAAGTTCTACTAAGGTCCCTTTTTGTCATCAGTATTGCTTCCAATTCAAGTTATTGTTTAAGATTTATGTGCCATCTCATTTCTACTTCTCCTTCACATGAAAACAGAAAAGAATATGTTTTGCAATTGGAATTTACAAAGTGCTGAAGAACTACTCTAACAAACTCAAGAAAATAGCGCATAGAGGCAACAACTTCATGGATAAAGTTTTTTTCTGCCCTTCCAGACACAATCAAGGTACAGTATGTTCGAGACATACATGACTTGTAGGTTCGAGTTTTAACGTACAGAAGAACTACCCGAACAAACTCAAGAACAAACCCATAGAAGCAAAGAGCTTCATGGATAACGTTTTGGGTTTTTATCATCCACAAACAGCGCCGATTGCTTATACAACTGTCAAGAATACGTTTGCGTGAACAGCATTTTATGGCCTTTCAAGTGATGTTTTCTACAAATCTCAGTATATTACAATGTATATATTATATATTATATATCTCATTCCCAGGACAGATTTATGACCGAATAAATGCAGAAGCAAAGGCTTGTGCCGTTCACATAACTCTTCTTGTCTTGACAATATGTGATAGTTTCTTGCTCACCAGAATGGCCTAGTTTCATGGCCTGTTTGTTAATATAGAACAGTACTCAGTCATTACTGTTAAATAATAAATCGCATATTTACATTTTCAACTTGATTTAACCATTGCATGTCTGACCATGCAAAAATGCTTTTCCTTGAATTGTAAATATATGTTCAGATATTACTTGAGTAATAGAGCTAAATATTTACATATATGTTCCAACCTCCAAGGTCCTATTTTCAATCTGACCGCCATGACAATTGTATTGAAAAATATATTTATGGCCACAAACAAGCTATTTCTGTTCTAAATGAACTGGTATGCTCTTTATTTCTTAAATCCTATTTTCAATCTGTAAACACCTCTTAAACTGAGAAAGTTGACAATCTTGACATCATATTTCGTACAAATCTCTGGGATCTTGCTGTATTCTCATTTGAAGCTATAATAGGCTGGAAATGTAACTGTTGTGCGTTGTAACAATGTCCTACAAAAGAAATTTCATATTTTTCAAATGTGTGGTGGAAATTTGTTTACTTATGTCATGTTTGTTTATGCAAACAATATTTGAACAACAATGCCAACGACCTTTTGCTGTCTGTTATTATGATCATTATTATGATAGGGGTGGTAGAACTGGCCATTATAATTACTGTAGGCCAAATGAGGTGTAGGCCAAATGAGGTGTAGGCGATATGAGGGCAAGCCGTGTGAACATCGTAAATTATTAGCTCCATATTTAAGTGAACTACAGTACCTTGGCACTGAATGTATCATGTCTTAGATCTGTGGATTGTATTCTTATCATTGATAACAATGGTTGTTCAAGCATGTGTCACGTTCTCCGGCCACCATTATTCAACATTCGCTCAAGGGTACAATGTGTGAAGCCCATTTCCGGTGTCCCCCACCCCCTCCCCCCGTGATATTGCTGGAATATTGCTAAAAGCGGCGTAAAACTATACTCACTCACTATTCGACATTAGGAACCGTGTATGTGACTATGGGTTCCAGTGGTCATTAGACAGTGATCTATCTTTGGTTACCTAGCAGTCTATGGCTATATATTTTGCATCATACATATAGTGGTTATATATATTTAACTCTTATAGTTTTACAAAAGGTCGTGAAAATCCGGGTTAGAATTGAACTTCAGTAACCCATGCTTGTCGTAAGAGGCAACTAACGAGATCGGGTGGTCAGACTCCCTAATGTGGTTAACACATGTCATCGTAGCTCATGTTGTTGATCACACGATTGTCTTGTCCAGACTCGATTATTTACAGACCGCCGCCATATAGCTGGAATATTACTGTGCGGTGTAAAACTCAACTCACTAACTTGCTCACTAGCTACGAAAGTTCCGTCAGTTGACAACATGTGTGCATTTGTACTTATTTTTGTCATTGTTCTCGTCATGGTGTGGCTAAAATTACTGCTGATGCTTAAACATTAACCGACTCATTCATTATCATCGTCTAATACTCGTACACTACCGTATGAATGATGATCCTCTTCTTGGGGCTTACCGGATACACAAGTGACAAAATGACAGGCGGAAAATCCCCCCGGTTATTATCATCAGATAAGTGACGTATATTATTCACATAATTCTTTGGTCGTACCATCTCATAAACGGACCGGGTTGAGTCCTGTCAAAACAGTTGATTTTTTAACGTTGTACATAACTATCACACATAACAAACTTGAGGAAAAACGCCATTCCTCGATTCATGTTAAATGTCGTGGTAACCATAGATATATAAGACAAAACCATAGACATGTTTTAGAAGAAGTTGAGATCCATAATATTTTGTCTTATACTTCAATACCAACTCGTCTATGCCTCTGAAGAACCTCACCATAGATGTAGTTACATATCTTTCTTCAGAGGTTCGGGACAATTAGTAAAAATATTTGTACTTCTGAAGTTTACTGAGAAATATGCGAGATAACAGCTACGTAAAACTTGGGGATGAAAAATTTAGATAAGAAGTAGACATGCCGATTGGCTCCAATCGTGTTGTGTGGTGCATATGAATCAGAATTTCTGCTGAGGTTGGCAAAATCAAATCAAGGTAATTTAGCCAAGAAGTTTAACTAATGCTACCGGTACATCGATGATCTAATGTCTCATATCAATAGCCATCAAAATGCCAATTCCCTATTGATTGACTTGAAATGTGAAACGCCTCTGTTATTTCATATTAAGAACTATGCATAAAGATTCACAGTGACAAAACCTCTCCCCAATTTGGTATAGAAAAAGCGCTGATTACAACTTTCCAAAATCCATCTTTCCCTTCAAGTGGAGCAATATTCCAACAGCTCCAGCCTTGGGTGTTCACATTTCACAACTCCGCACGTTCAATCGAGCATATGCTGTTTTACCAAAATTTCAAAGAGCCTGATTTTGCTTAATGCTCGTTCGATGAAAGTTACAACATTCAAGGTCTCAGTAAAGATTTAAAATAGTTTTATGGCAGATATGTGGCGGGAATTTCAAAACTTTATGCATGATCCGTGACAAAAGTTGCATACCCAATGCAATTCCAATAACCGATCCAGTCCCGGCCGATAAACCCCGCCCACTTCGCTTTTGACGTTAGGGGGCACAACCACTGACTAATCACAATGGCGTCACCGCCGGCGAAACGTACGTGATTGCGAACGTTGTTGATGAATTCTGCTTGTGGTACTTTGGTATCCGTCGTTTGTGAATGATATTTAAAAAGGCAAGTTGTACGTATGTGATTTTGATATATTTTAGCTGGCAGATTGCAACTGGCGAGTGAAAATGAGTTACAGGCCCTATGAAAAATCATCTTGACCAGCTGCTGAGAGCAGGAAGCGTATTTTCTTTCGAATCAATTAATATATCTGGCAATTCACCTCGTCAAAGATTTTAGCAGGGGAGGGGTAACTGAATTTTGTTTTTGGGGTTTTTTAAAAAAATTCCCATCATAATTTTATAAAAACCGTGAACACAACTACATGTTCATGTTGCAGATCGTTTCGGTATCTATAAATAGATTGTCAACACTGGCGCCTTTACTTATAGTTATCCGTTGGCGTTGTTCAAATTTAGTTAAATTAATAATCTGAAAACATGGGTTTCTATCTTTTAATGAACTAAAAGAATTGTAAACAAAAAGCCGAAAATATTTCCCGTCTACTACTTCCCTCTTCAAAATCTGTACATCATCCTAAAATTACCCTGAATATAAGGAAATCCATTTTTTAATCACCCTTTCCATTTTATTTTTCTATATGTACTTTGTTGTGGAATCATAATTTACATACAAACTTCCACAATACTGGACTTCATGAACTGCCAGAGTTTATGTACAGGTATGTCACAGCACCAGAACACAAAGAAGATCCAGGATACAGTCTGCACCTGTACACTGACCCATCTTCCAGAAATAGGAAACCTGTGATGCAAAATCTTTGAACAGAGGATCTACAGTTATCCGAACAATTAACTAGCATTGAAATAGAATGTTTCACAAAATACAAATGTATTGTTTTTTCATCAGATATATTTAACTGCTAACTACTAGTGTAAATATGGTGCAAAGAATATATCCTAAGTTCAAAGCTTTTTGTCAATACAAGTACATATTGACATTATTACTTCTTAAACAATGATAATCTTTGGGTTTTTTAGATCTGAGACCATATCCCTAGAGGACATAACACTGATTTCGATCTATTTCCTTTTCTGAGATACTTACTAGTGTCATAAAAATTATAGTAAAGTTAATTCAAACTTTGGTAAAAGTCATAACAAAGGTTTAGGAAAACACACATGAAAATCTCCTGAAGCGTTCACCTCCTACAAACCAGTGTGCAATTTAATATGAAGCTCGTTTTGCAAATAGCCATCAACAAACCTAAACAATTTGTCCAAAACCAACATCTTAATGAACATTAGCTCTGGCTCAGTCTTCAAATATTAGTAACCTCCTAAAACAACTGATGATTTATAAGAAGAATTACATCAAATCTGGGTTAAATATATGTTACAATATTTATTCCGTTACATGAAAAGTCAACTGAGATTTTTGTAAGTTATTCTGTTCCAGGACTGGATAATGCCTGACCAGTGTGTGACCAAAACGTAGCATTTGCTTTTTCAAATTCTCTGGATTTTGAAATAACTTTGATGAGTTATGATACTAGCAATCACTTTCAGAATTATCTTATTAGTAAATATATTATTTAAATAACATCTAAAAGTAGGAGCCAAGAAACAATTTAAGTTAATACCAGGTGATTGTCCTGCCAATATATATGATTAGTGTTTGTCGGCCTAGTTCTGCCTTAAAATCATATGGATCTGATATGTCCATCAATTAAATAATTATTTATAATTGATTAGATTATTATTTATTTTATTACCCTTCCTCATTTACTAAAAAAAGCAAGATTCTTAAAACATACCTTTCTATCATTTCCAGTGAATTAATCAAAATGACAGTTGTAATATTACTCCTAAAATGTACCAATATATGTGAATAGTTTAATTGTAACAAAACTTCAAATAATGTTCTCATAATTAAGATATACATTTTATTTCACTCCATCCAATACTCCAGAAAGTCACTATTCTTCCCACATAGTTTTCGTATTCGATCAACATGGAGGAAGGTAATTCAATTCAAAGTCCCATGCATCTCTTTATAAAAATTCTGAAATATTTAAACCGTGGTTTTATAGACACTCATATGAATTAATTTTGATACTTGGATATTGCATGATAGGCAACTGCTGACACTGGCAATATTTCTGTTTGAATAGAAAATATTACTCCTCGAATATTTTACTATTTAAACTATTTAAACAAGATACTGTAGGCCTTCAGATTAATGTGCTTTTGAAACATAAAACATCCTAAAATGTGTGCCAAATTTAAGAATATCTAAGAGCGAAGGGGACAATATCCGCCACATTGTTCTTTAATGCAACAAGTTTTGCTATTTCGGTCGACTGTAACCGAAATCAGATCGCTGTCAGATTTGTTTACATTGTGTCACGGCTTTCTCGCCTGTCTCATTTGAGCTTTATGGCGTACTAACTCAATGCCCAGTAGTGACTTAAAACGTTAAGCAAAACAATTTTGTAGTAACAAGAATTGTCCGTGTTTATAACACTTGCAAAGTCTTAAACTGCTATTTGTTGTCATCAATTGGTAATGATTTTGCACATGTGCAAAAGTGTGGAAATTCGTGCAAATTCTCATCTGCAGGCAGACGTAGGTTTCGTGAACGATGGTGCAGACATTTAACTGATCGTTAGGCCTATCGCGCTCCTTGATCCGCCTCAATTTGTTTTGTCTTGACCGTAATGGTTTTGTTAAAGGAACACATCAAATCGCAGCAATATGTAATAGATATAGCGAGTGTAAATGACATAATTCGAAGCACATCGCTTCGGAAGCATCGTTTGACCCAGGAAATAAGTCTGACAAATCCACACAGCGCGCCCGGCCTGCTGATTGGCCAAAACTGACGCGTGCGCCAGTTTTGATTGACAGACTGGATCGGTCTATAGTGGCAGGACCTAGAAAGTTAGTATGGTGGCGCGTGGCCTTAGCTCAGGTCACAGGTTACATATCAGTTGAGGTAATGTTTCATGTGTGACAGGGTTCCAGACTCTCTTGGGTGTATGGGGCCCGACACTGAAGCACATGTGGTGTCTCCTTAATGACTTGTTCGAAGTGTGCCTCTGTTCGCACAGCAGTGAATGGGTACCCGGAAGGATGAGTCGGTTATGTGCCTGCTCACCATCTCGCACTTCACGGGGAGCTTGGGTGTCATGCATGGTGAAAATTGAGTGCACGCTGATCCATTACCGCATAGTAATGATAGTGTTTGAATATATGGTATTTAGTTTGTATATCGTATCTGGTACATTACATGGCCCTTATATTGCTGGAAAATTGCTAAAGCGGCATAAAACTAAACTCACTCACTAGTACATAAACATTACATTATGTACATACAAATGTTATTGTACATACTGTTATCATTATGGGTGAAGAAAGAATTTTCAACAAGACACAAAAATCCACACAGAGAGAGAGAGAGAGAGAGAGACAGAGAGAAATAGAGAGAGACAGAGAGAGAGAGAGACAGAGACAGAAAAAGAAAGAGCTTGAGCTAAAGACAGGGACAGAGAGAAAGTGAGTGAGTTTTGCGCCGCACTCAGTAATATTCCAGCTATATCGCGGCGGTCTGTAAATAATCGAGTCTGAACCAGACAACCCAGTGATCAACAGCAGCAGCATCGATCTGCGCAACTGACATGTGTCAACCAAGTCAGCGAGCCTGACCACCCGATCCCGTTAGTCGCCTCTTACGACAAGCATGGGTTACTGAAGATCAATATTCTAACTCGGATCTTCACGGGTGACAGAGAGAAAGGAGAGAGAGTGTGTGAGAGAGATATTATATTTCTACATATTGCGATACTACTTACGTAATATGCTTGCTGATTCTTCTCGAGAGTATCCTCCGACAGACTCAGTGTTGACTGTACATACTTGTTGTGAGCGTCTAGTATTGTTTGCATAAGTGCCTCTGTCTCTTGATGTCCCCTATCAGTTGCCATGGTGCTGGATGAGGCGAGACTGGTAAACTTGTGTCTTCAGATTCTAAAGGTGTTCCATCTCGAATTTTCTGGATTTCTAAAATGTCTTGTGTTCTTTTCTTGTGTGTGTAACGACCTGTTTTGATTGCTGAAAAGAAACAAAATGAATATAATATTATAGCCTCTGCTTTGTTTTGGTTTTTGGAGTTGTTTCTTTTACATTTTCCTGTTTTTACTGTTTTACTGATTAAGATAAAATGCAGCAAAGAGGGTTCGGGTAATCCTGGCACAGTCAGGCTGGTAAGGCTCATCATCAGCTCAGGGCCCTTGCCCCCCTCTACACGCAGCCCAGACAGCGAATGGGACTTCTCCCAGGAAACGCTGCCTTGTCGAACCCATCAAGAACGTTCCGAAGAAGAACACTGCAGCCTTCTGCATTACCCAGAGTGTCAGAAGGGCTGTGGTCCCAATGGAGATCCCGGGCACCCTCCTGTTGGGGATTACCCATACTCCTGTCACAGATGCTTCATCAATCAGCCCCTGTATGAAATGTCTAATCAAACCGCTCATCCATATTTCGATAAAAAATATGTATTCAAGCTATTTTCATTGTATGAATTTTCCATATATTTTTAATCAATTGTAATAATTCTATATTCTGCCCTCAATTCGGATGTTGTAACAGCAAAACCTGCCCAAGGAGCCATGCTGGGGAAATTTACCAGTATTCAATGATTCTCTAGAACATTCCCCTCGTTGATTCAAGGACGAATTTAATTTATGCCTATTTTTTAAGAGTATCCTCTGAATATGTTAAACCAACTTCAAATGGTTTCTGAAAGAGCTTGATGTTAAGGATTATATACGTCATGTGTTCCAGATTCATAGTTGTTGTGAGTTTGATTTCTTTTCCGGGATAGATGTCATATGTAATGAATATTTATATACTTTTACAACATGGTATGGTGTAACTGTCGGCAAGAAGTGTAATGAATGACTTCCTGGAACCATCTCTGTACATGACGCAATAAAGATTTTTAAAAGCTGACAATCATGTGTTCAGCAAGTATCATGTACCCGAGAAGTTCAGCAAACGTAAGAAAACAGCACAAGTGTTAAGAGTAAGTGAGTAATATTTTACGCCGCTATGAACAGTATTCCAGTTGTATTACAGAATGTCAACTAGTTATGGGAGGATAGCCTGAAGTGAGTTGGGTTTTACGCCGTTTTAGCAAAATTCGAACAATATCACGACCGGGAACACCAGAAATGAGCTTCACACACTGTACTCATGTGGGGAATCGAACCAGGGTCTTCGGCGTGACGAGCGAACGCTTTAACCACTAGGCTACCCCATCGCCCCGGAAGTGATGTAGGATTCAGACCTAACCTTATTGTGAAACCACTGACCAGGGGTATGGTTGGTTTGTTTGTTGTTTAACGCCGCACTCAGCAATATTCCAGCTATATGGCGGCGATCTGTAAATAATCGAGTCTGGACCAGACAACCCAGTGATCAACAGCATGAGCATCGATCTACGCAATTGAGACCAGGGGTACACACCCAGAAACATAATCGGGAATAGGGATTCGAACCCACAATCACATGTTTCATGCGTAACCAAGGGACGTAACTCTTCATAGACGACTGGGCTCTGTCCACATATGGTCGTCCATTGCCTCTTTTATCATCGCCTTCCTAATCGTCTCATTAATGTTACAAATCTTGCATATGTAATGGGTGAAAGACAAATAGGCGTACATGAAAGTGTCACTCACTTCAACAATTACTTATGCTGCAACATTAAGCATCAATCACTGTGCAGAAATAGACTCGACTGTCACAGAGACTATATGTCTTCATGTATTTCGGTGTGGCTCAACGTGTTCCAGTAAAATGACGCGTATATCAACCAGTGAGTGAGTTTAGTTTTACGCCGCTTTTAGCAATATTCCAGCAATATCACGGCGGGGGACACCAGAAATGGGCTTCACATATTGTACTCATGTGGGGAATCGAACCCCGAATGGTCGGCGTGAAGAGCGAACACCTTAACCCCAAGGCTACCCCACCGTCCCCTACCCTCAACCAATTGGTATGAAGCGGCATAGAGATGTGATCCGATGCATTGTTGAAATATTCAGGTTCTACCTTGCTAAATATTTACATAAAGTAGGGAAGAGTATTTAACAAGCATTGTTACTAAGGGTGACATAATCCCCCACTGCAAATTATCAAATCAAACTTAAAATGTAATGAAAGTGAAGGTCGTAGTTTAAGATGAAGTTAAATGTCAACAAAAACATGACCAGTCAACCTCTCTTGATATCTTGCTCTGTAGTTGTTCAAACGCACAATTTTTTTCGCTACTCACTTTGACCTTGACATGAATGTCTTAGTGTATGAAATATGCAAAATTAGTAATAAAGAAATTGCTTATTGAAAAACATTCAAGGGAAGTCTTGAAAGCCTATGAAGAAAATCCAGTGAACCGTTCTTGAGATATCTTGCTGACAGGGGCGGTGGGGTAGCCTAGTGGTTAAAGCGTTGGCTCGTCACGCCGAAGAGTTCGATTCCCCACATGGGCACAATGTGTTAAGCCCAAAGTGTCGCCGTGATATTGCTGGAATATTGCTAAAAGCGGCGTAAACCAAAACACAGTCAGTCAGTCAGTCTTGCTGACAATCTTAACATGCAGTTTAATATGCTGAAATCTTCAAAGTGTCGCCGTGACCTTGAAAAATTATGTGAAGGTACCCAAATCGACTGGGCCTTGCACCTAGATGAAGCTTGGTGTCAAATATGAAGAAAATCCAGTGAACGGTTCCTGTGATATCTTGCTGACAAGGGTAAAACGTTAAAGTCCCCTTGTGACCTTGAAATGACCTGACTGGAACCTTTCTTATACTGTGATGAACCTAGGTACCAAATATGAAAAGAATCTAGTCAACGGTTCTTAAGATATTCCAATTCGTACGGACGGACTGACGGACGGACGGATAACCTATGGAGTGGGATTTGCTGGCATGCATGCTTAACACAGATTCTTGACAGTGAAACGTCCCGCCTCTACCAATCACCCCTTTTTCATGCTACCAATAAGGATATAGAAGTGTCATAGTGTCCGTGACTATAGCAATAGCGTCAATAAATATTCTCCTTGACTTATGCCCCTGTTTCAGAGCCTGCTGACGCTACAAACTGACTGTTGTCAAATGCACTTTGGCCGCCGTAACGACATCGTGATGATGACTTCCACCAACTCAATGTTATCTCTCTGAAGCTATTCCTTCGTTAGCATCTCACAGTTCAGCGTAAAGTTCGTGAACCGCCTCGCATCACCTGTGGCCAGAGCAGCACATTCCAATGCCATGCTTCAGAAAAATTATGGTCTCATCTCGGGAGATATTTTCAAGGCGGAGGTCTGTTTCGACGTTTTAAATAAATCACCGCTACACCCACAGCTGTTAGTCCTATTGCAACGTCCCCGTATGGAGCAACACCTACTCTTACTGCTGCTGTTATTCCTCCAAATCCTCCTCCTACTACTACTACTGCTACTACTACTACTACTACTACTACTACTACTACTACTACTACTACTACTACTACTACTACTACTACTACTACTTACTACTACTAGTACTACTACTACTACTGCTACTACTACTACTGCTACTACTACTACTGCTGCTACTACTACGACTACTACTACTACTACCTACTACTACTACTACTACTACTCACTCACTACTACCACAACTACTACTGCTACTACTACTAGTGCTCCTGCTACTACTACTTTACTGCTAGTGCTACTACTGCTGCTACTACTACCTACTACTACTATTGCTATATTACTACTACTCCTCCCCCTGCTACTACTACTACTACTACTACTACTACTACTATTACTACTACCACTACTACTACTTCCACAGCTACAACTACTATTAATAAGGATCGCCCGAACCTTCTTTGAGACAATTTATTTGAGAACAAAATAATTAACACGCATAGAAGTGCCTTCACTCCAACAACGTTTAAGACCGGATCGCATTATATCATACAATTGTTAAACGCAAATCCACCAAGAATAAACTGTAATTGTTTTGGGGTTTTGTACGGATACAAATGGTATTAAAAAGGTAGAGTTACCGTGTTTTGACATGCCGACAGACAGGCATTTCTTATATCTACAGTACGGGCAGCCATTCCTTCTCGATAGAGTAATGTCGCAGTTGCCATTTCCAAGACATTTGTATTTCTCTCGTCGTAGCATACTCCGCCGAAAGAAACCCTGAAACAAAGGTCCATATGCATGAATGACTATTGAAAATGGACCAGACAATCCAGTGAAGCATCGATCTGCACAACCGGGAACCGATGACATGTGTCAACCAAGTCAGCGAGCCTGACCCCCCGATCCCGTTAGTCGCCTCTTACGACAAGCATTGTTTACTGAAGATCAATTCTAACCAGGATCTTCACAGGTGTATGTAATTTTGAAAAGTATAATGGTGCTCTGGAATAATTGAATCAGACAACCCTGTGGTTAATATTATGAGCAACCATCGGCGAATCAAATATGTGAAAAGTGCGCGGAGAAATACACGTGAACCTCAAACAGGCCACACAAAGATAACACTTTAAAATACCCTAAGACTGGGCTACAGTCTTCTTGGCAATGATAGTCTCAGCAAATATTTGATATATACAAATACATGTGAAACATGATCCACGTAGGTCAATAAAAACATTTCTGTAAGGTAACTGTAACAGATAGATCGATCGATTATCTTCAGGGGAAAAATATAGATTATATTCTGACGGAATTTCATGATGACGTCACAATGTAACATACACTGCCTTAACATACGCATACACGCCTTGACGTCACAGTAGCAGTTTAAATGACATTTACAATGGTAAATTGTATGGGGAAGCTTAATTTTGCTTCCTGGAAAAATGTATTTGACGGAGCTATTTGTTTTGATGGAACTCAATTGTTTTTAGCTTGGGGTTTATATTTAATTCTAAAAATAAATTTGTCTTTTCTTCGTGAGATTACGAGGTAATAATCATAATATTGTTGTGAAGTAGAAAAAGGTGGCCCAAAAACCTGAAAAATGTAACGGATTCGACTTTTAAAATGATGATTATTTTTGGTGAAAAGCAAAGGCGACAGAAAGTCGGGAGTTCATGAAAAAGGTACAGTTTGTTTGTTTGTAAATAATCGAGTTTAGACCAGACCATCCTCGATTATCTCCAGAGTATACGTTACGATAACTTTCCACTATACCCTGGACGCATCTACGGCTTGGCCCGATGATTTTATTACCTGCCTTGGCTGGCTCCGCATTCTCACAGTAGCCAATCAACTAAGCCGCCGTTACAACCGAACTTGTCAGTGTCAACAAAGATAGAGGTCGCAGCCGCGAAGTTTTTTTCGCAGTGTTACTCAGATTTTGGGGGAAATCATACAGAAAATTTTACAGGTCTGAAACTTTAAAAAAATATATGCAAGAAATCCTTCAACCTCTTTCAGAGTATTGCTGCATCAATTGTGTTACCAAGTTAAATCGGTTAGATAATTTAAGAAGCGAAAGTGAGTTGTGATTGGTCCGCTCAACTTCCCAGCGTAGACACCTGATTGGATAAGAAACCAGCCAAGGGAGGTAGTAAAATTATCCTGCGGACTGTAGATGCATCCAGGGTATAGTGGAGAGTTATCGTAACGTATACCCTAGAGATTATCGAGGATGAGACCAGACAAGCCAGTGATCAACAGCATAAGCATTTGTCTACGCAATTGGGATACTATGACATGTGTCAACCAAGTCAGCGAGCCTGACCACCCGATCTCGTACGTCGCCTCTTACGACAAGCAGTCGTTGCTGAAGACCAGCTCTAACCCGGATCTTCACGGGGCAGACAAGCTTGGGTTGTTGAAGATCAGCTCTAACCTGAATCTTCACGGGGAAACAAGCACGGGTTGCTGAAGACCAATTCTAACCCGGATCTTCACGGGGAAACAAGCACGGGTTGCTGAAGATCAATTATACCCCGGATATCCACGGGAGAGACAAGCATGGGTTGCTGAAGATCAATTATACCCCGGATATCCACGGGAGAGACAAGCATGGGTTGCTGAAGATCAATTCTAACCAGGATCCTCACGGGTACGCAAACACAGAGGAAATCAACAGAGATGATGCGGTCAGTTCCTTACAACGTGGTCAGCAGACATACATGACTTCATGGTCTGATCGACCTTTTAACGAACGGAATTGATGTATCGCGACATATGAGTGAGTGAGAGAGTGAGTTCCGTTTTACGCCGCACTAAGCAATATTCCAGCTATATGGCAGCGGTCTGTAAATAATCGAGTCTGGACAAGACAATCCAGTGATCAACCCAGACATATGACAAAGTAAGGTAACACACGTACTAAGTACAAGGATACAGAAACATCAACAGAATGGCGCGAGCTCTGCAAGTGACAGAGGCAAATCGCGGTCGGATATGTTCCTATTCTTGGACAATGTCATTCTGTCATGTGTATCAGTTATAGTTTTGAAAGATGGACTGACCCAAAGGAGACTACTTATGGATTCACCCAAAGTAGAATACTTATGGATTCACCCAAAGTAGACTTCTGATGCATTCACCCAAAGTAGACCTCTGCAAGTGTAGGTCAAGATAGAGCGTGATGTTGACAGTTATGGTCGTCCTTAACCTGGTGACCCTTTTCCTGGCCACGCGAGAATAGAGTTATGAGAGACAGACTGAGACAAAGTAAATGGACTGAGTATAGGACAAGGTGGAGCGTGATGTCGACAGTTACAGTCGTCCGTGACCTGGTGACCCTTCTCCTGGCGACACGAGAGTAGAGTTATGAGAGATAGACTGAGACAAAGTAAATGGACAAGGTGGAGAGTTAATCTTTTAATGAATGGGTGCCCGTTCACGCATGAGATCTTGACAGTTACGGTCGTCCGTGGCCTGGTAGACTAAGGCTTAGTCTCTGAATATATATAATTTGGATAGTAACAAACAAGCCCATTTATATTGAAAAGGAGCCCTAAGGAGACCAGAGATTCTAGACTTGCTTTATTTAGGGCTTTAGCACTGCAGAGAGGGCTTGGTAGTAGGGAAAATAATGTGGTTCAGGGACTGTGAGACAGACTAGTGGCCTGGTGACCCCGCTCTTGACCGTTTGAGTTATGAGAGATGGAGGCAAAGTTGACTTACGTGAGTGTTAAACTTTGAATGAATGGGCGCTGGTACATCGCACGGCTGGGAATACCAGAAATGGGCTTCATACTTTATGCGCGAGAATGCGCGAGAATGCAAGAGAATAGAGTTATGAGAGATGGACTGAGTAAATAAAGCTAAATATCGTGAGTGAGTGAGTGAGTGAGTATGGTTTTACGCCGCTCTTAGCACTATTCCAGCAATATCACAGGACTGAGTATAGGACAAGGTGGAGAGTTAATCTTTTATGAATGAGTGTCAGTTCATGAATGTAATGTTGACAGTTCCGGTCGCCCTTGACCTTGCCACCCCGCTCTTGACCGCGTGAGTTATGAGAGATGGAGGCAAAGTTGACTTACGTGAGTGTTAAACTTTGGATGAATAGGCGCTTGTACATCGCACGGCTGGGAATACCAGAAATGGGCTTCATACTTTATACCCATGTGCGGAATCGAACCCGCGTCTTCGGGGTTACGTTGCAAACGCTTTAACCACAAGGCTACCCCACCGCCCGACAGTTTTGAAGAAGCACTGATGAAGTCTTCAGACACTTAAGTCAACTCTGTGATATATAATGCCGCTCCTTTCACACTTTCTTTAAAAGACTATACGCATTGACAAATTTACCGACCACTGCATCCAAAATCAGAAGGGGAACGGGGTCATCAAAAGCTCAGGTTGGTTGGTTTGTTGGTCGGTTGGTTGGTTGGTCGGTTGGTCGGTTGTTTAACGCCGCACTCAGCAATATTCCAGCTATATGGCGGGATCGGGTGATCATGCTCGCTATGTAGTTGGTGAATGTCATCGTATCAAAATTATGTAGATTAATGCTCAACATGTCAGTCAAAGGATTGTCTGGTCCAGACCGCGGCCATATGTCTGGAATACCGGTAGGCGATACACCAAAAGCAAAGCAGAGTCACACAGTTGTCAGGGGCAACAGAAACTTGCATAGATCATCATTACCTTGCATACCTCTAAAAATCCGGGTTAGAATTGATCTTCAGTAACCCATGCTTGTCGTAACGGGATCGGGTGGTCTGGGTCGCTGACGTGGTTGACACATGTCATCGTATCACAATTGTCTAGATCGATACTCATGCTGTTGATCGCTGGATTGTCTGGTCCAGACTCGATTATATACAGACCACCGCCATATAGCTGGAATATTGTTGAGTGCGGCATAAAACTAAACTCATTCACTCATTACCTTGCATGCCTCGCACGTGTTGACCCCATAATGGAACCCGGATGCATTCTCATCACAGACTCGACATGGAGGAAGAATTGGAGTGGCACGAGACTGAGCCGGGGAGCACGTGATGTCGCATCCGAATTCCTCTTTCATCATGGTTTCTGGAATACATATTTAAACAATCAGAAAATAATATAAATATTCTAGAAAAAAATAAATCGGACTCGGGCGTTCACGGTCGATAGATGCAACTATACTACCCCTCTCAAAAGTTCAGACTCACTTAAAACACTCACTATAAGTTATGTATTAATTTAAAGTTGTATGTTTTTATTAATTTTAAGATCATGTCATTCCATTTGATGGAGAGACAAAATATGGTATTCTGGCTATGAACTGGTGTGTTTTTGTTACGGAACGGCTCTCACGAACGAAGCTATAGTCAAGTGAACCATGTCACCCATCCGTTTTGCAAAATGCAGTTTCACCCTTCGACTTTCCGTGGCTGTTTAAACAGCTTTTTCGACTCTATTGTCCGTTCAATACAACATGTTATGAACAAAGGCACGAAGGAGATTGTCAGAGGCTATGAGGTGGCAAATTATTGGGCAGCATTTAGCGGGTCTGTCGTACAAAGAAATTGGGAGAAGGACTGGTTACCACTATACGGTAATCAGTCGTTTAGTGCGAAAACATGCCCAAACAAATCATGTTTACGCACGTCCCCGTTCCGGTAGCCCCGAGCTACCACACTGCAAGAGGTCAGGGACCTATTGCATCATCAACGACGTCAACCGTTCGCCTCAAGTACCGTCTTGAAACAGGCGTGGCTACCGTATAGGCGGTTGAGCAATCAGACCGTGAGGAACCGCCTCAAAGCAGCAGGATTAAGGGCCCGACGTGTCATCAGGCATCCACAACTCACAAATCGCCACAAACGGGATCGTAGGATGTGGTGTCGTCACCGGCAGCGGTGGAACCTGAGGTCTTGGAGATGAATCCACTGGTCGGATGAGAGTCGTTTCCTCCTTCATACTGTTGATGGGCGAATCAGAGTATGGAGAGATAACAACAGCCGTTACACACCAAGGAACATTCTGCGAACAGTACCATATGGTGGAGAATCCGTTATGGTGTGGGGTTGCTTTTCGTTTGATTGCACGTTGGATTTAGTTACACTACAGGGTACACCTACGGGCGCTTGCTACATTGATGAGGTGCTGGATCCAGTTGTGATTGATCATTTTGATGACCACAGACTTGCAACTCGGCCACTGTTCATGGGCGATAATGCCCGGCCTCACCGTTCCCGAGCTGTGACCCAACATCTGGAGAACGATGGTGTTACTCAAATACCATGGCCAGCAATATCTCCAGATTTAAATCCTGTCGAGCATGTCTGGGACATAATGGGTCGACGTTTACAAAGAAGAAACCCTTCTCCAACAAATCTGAGGCAACTGGAGGCAGCACTTCACGAGGAGTGGCAGCAATTCCCCATGGAACAATGCAGGCGACTTGTCAGGAGTATGCCCAGAAGACTGGTCGCAGTAATTCAGGCGCGTGGTGGCAGAACACGTTATTGGCATTGTATGGTTTCTAGGACACTGACTCAGATGTTTCAATATGATTTCTTCAAAAGGCGCATCCTTCAGACTTGTAATGACCATTCTTTCATGCATTTGTGTTTTGGACCATATTCCATTCATTTTTCGTTCTGTGTTTTGGGGCACTTGCAGTCCTTGAATATTAATATATTTTATGCAACGAATAAACCATTGATTGATCTTTCTCGTGCAATTTGTTTTGCATCTATCTTTAGCTTCTCCACAATGTGTCTTTGAAACTTCTCCCTATCACAATAATCATGGGGTGCTTAACTTTTTTTACTGTGTATATATGGTTACATCGATCGAAGATCAATTTCTCCACTAACTTGGGGGAACCAACTGCAAACCTTATGAGGATCATGCATCAAGTTGCTGAAAAGCATGTGCAAATATCGTGCATGTAAACAGCTGCATTTTGGTGTAAAGTTGTGTTAAGATTCGCCAATTTTCACTGAGTTTCATCATGTATTGAACACATGACAATAATCTTTTCAGCGTTACGAATTTGTTGTACAATACATCAGTTCATGTGTAAACAGTACCTTTAAACATTATGGAATATTTTGCAAGATCTAGTTTAGAACAGTTGACTGAAGTAAGTGGCTATATTTACATTAGTGTGTCTAAACTTTGGGTAGTATATAAACAACACTTAAAGCACATATTCTAAAGATACCGGCATTATGCAATGCGTATATTTTCAAAGAAGATACAGATAGAAGATCCACAGCTACAGGAACCGACGTGCATTACACATATACTACTGATCGAAGATTGTGTTTGTGATAGGTGGGGGGACGCACATTACATGCATAACACACCTGAAAAGGAAATCATTGAATGAAATGCCACACCTTGATGTTTGCTGAATACTGTACTTGTTAAATTGTTGTTAACGTTCAAGCTATATTGAGCCTACTATACACACACAGGATGCAGGAGAAAGACAAGTGGCGTCGTGAAGCACTTTGCAAGACTGTCAACACAGCAGAGTCCTAACAATCAGTATAGTGATGTATTGTTCACGATCTGCTCGATAATGTTCTGGGCCTAGATTTTCGAAGCTCTCTTAGCGCTAAAATAGTCGTAAGTACCAAACATTAACATTAACAAACATGTTTGTATGTTTGCTGTCTCGTGAAACACGTAAGAATGTCAAAACATGATGTTTTTACGCTTGTGAGTGAGTTTAGTTTTATGCCGCACTCAGCAATATCCCAGCTATATAGCGGCGGTCTGTAAATAATCGGGTTTGGACCATACAATCCAGTGATCAACATCATGTGCATCGATCTACACATTTGTGATACGATGACATGTGTCAACCAAGTCAGCGAGTCTGACCACCTAATCCCGTTATTCGCCGTTACGACAAGCATGGGTTACTGAAGATCAATTCTAACCCGGATCTTCAAGGGTCTTTACGCTTATGAACGTCATTTAAACGGGCATATGAACGGTCTGTAGGATAGTATCAACGTTGTTTATCGCGATTATAATGACGCGAAGGTGAACTACAGACCGGTTAGAGAAAGTCTGGTCTGAAAGCAGTGAGTGAATTTAGTCTTACGCCTAACAGTATTCCAGCAATATCACGGCGGGGGACACCAGAAATGGGCTCCACACATTGTACCCATGTGGGGAATCGAACCCGGGTCTTCGGCGTGACGAATATCACCCCAACGCCCCAAACTGTCCAGCTATATGGCCACGGTCTGTAAATAATCGAGTCTGGACCAGACAATCCAGTGATAAACAGCATGGATCTACGCAGTTGGGATACGATGGCATGTGTCAACCAAGTTGTAACACGGCAGTGTACATAATCGAGTCTGGAACAGATCGATGTTTAACGAGCGAACGGTTTAACTATTTGTTTCAAGAAAACCTGACACCATCCAACTCTTCAGATGCTCTTTTGTTATTCTGCTAATCGCATATATTAAAAGGGGCGTTGTGGGAGAAGATATAACAATACGGGTTTTCGGGGTTTTTTTGCGAGTGCTGCGTAAAAATAAAAACTAAACTCTAAGTTTGTTTTCAGGGAGGTTTTTTTTTTGTGTTTTGCTTTGTTGTTATATAATTTGATCCTTTTTGAAAAATATTTTTTGCCCTTTTAAATTACCTTTTCATCCTGTTGTTTTAGAGTGTGATTGGCCTTTTGTTGTTTTTTATGTTTTCATGTTTGTCTTCTTTTGCTTTGCTTATTGGGCTTTTTTTACGCAAAACATTTACCATCTGGTATGAACGTATTGTTTTTTCTAACTATCCGAAGTCGCATCACTTTCCTGCATCCTTCACTCATCCACCCTCATCTCAATTAGAAGAAAACAATATCAATGCAGGTGATAAAACACTCGTTAGATTGCAGATGGGTGATAAATCTCGATCTGGCTGGAATCTGATAAACCGTCAATCATTCAAGTATCACTGTTCGGCAAAATCCGTAAAGAGACGAAGTTGCCAGCCTCGGATGACGAATGCCTTTGAGACGGGCACCATTGCTACATGGGCAGTATCACAATGACCTTAGTTGTGTTCTTTATGGGAATAACAGCTGATATTTGCTATATTTGAGAGGGTAGTCTATTGGTTAAAGCGTTAGCTCGTCACACCGAAGGCCCGAGTTCGATTCCCCACATGGGAACAATGTGTGAAGCACATTTCTGGTGTCCCCCGCTAGTATATCGTTGGAATATTGCTAAAAGTGGCGTAAGTTTATACGGCTATTTAACGGACACAAGGACCAATTGCTCTTAAAAAGTGATTATTCATAATCGTTTGCGGAAATACTTGATCTGTTCAAATTCTCTCGGCGGTGGGGTAGCTTAGTGGTTAAAGCGTTGGCTCGTCACGCCGAAGACCCGGGTTCGATTCCCCACATGGGCAAAATGTGTTAAGCCCATTTCTGGTGTCCCCCGCCGTGATATTGCTGGAATATTGCTAAAAGCGGCGTAAAACTAAACTCAGTCAGTCAGTCAGTCAAATTCTCTCCTTGGTCGGGCAGTAAATGGGAAAGTTCAGAAGAAAATCCGGAGCCTGATGTCAGCAATAGCAGTTACCATAATGGGATGTGTTAAGCTGGAAGCTGGGCTAGTGAGTATTGAAGGCAAGCAGGTAACGGAAATAAATCTTTACTCCTTACGCTAGTCTTTAGGGGCAAGAGAATCGCATATACGTATTCGTCAGAGTTGGATGTACACGTCAACGTCAGACCATATTCGATCATCAGCCCGAACAGATTTCTCTGGTGGCCAAAAACATACCATCAAACACATTAAGCAAACGCCGCACTCAGCAATATTCCCGCTATATGGTGGCGGTCTGTAAATAATCGAGTCGGGACCAGACAATCCAGTCATCAACAGCATGAGCATGCTTAGATGAATCTTTTAATATGAGGGCCGTTTGAGCGGTTTTAGCGCTAAGGTGATCGTAACTCCCATACAGTAACATAGACTTACGACAGGTACAGCACTTAGTTAGTTTTGAATCATGTTCAGTATTATTTTTGAATGTTATTTGTCTGTTACTGACATTTAACACTTTTCAACCATTGCTTTTATTTTTAATCATAATTTCTTTCATGTTTGTCTATTATTATCACTAAGTAGGGACTTGGAGAGGACGAAGGGTTTTCCCTGATGCCATTGCTTGAGGAGGAAGAGCTTTAGGTGTACATCAATTGATTGCGTTTATCAATATGTTTTTTGTTTTCGCTTTAACAGTAAATTTCATCAATTTAAAGAGGACGTAATCTTCGATCGTTCGGTTATTGATATTAGGGATGGGTGGTGTTTGAATCGCACTTGAAAACTTCGCTGTTCAAGCATAAAATCGCGGTTTGATTCCCCCCATGAATATATTATCTTAGTAAACCTTCTGTAATATTTGTATATATTATTAGTCTTGTACACACTCACCCATTACAGTGAGAGAGTGAGTATGATTTTACGCCGCTTGTAGCAATATCACGACGGGGGACACCGGAAATGGGCTTCACACATTGTGCCACTGTGGGGAATCGACCCCGTCTTCAGCGTGACGAACGGACGCTTTAACCATCAGGCTACCCCACCGCCCTCCACCCGTTATAATAATGGAGTACTCCACTGGTCTTGGTCCCATCACTCGTCTACTGGAAGACCATGTTCAGAGTGAGTGAGCGAGTTAGGTTTCACGCCACACTCTGCAGTATTCCAGCTATATGGTGGCGATCTATAAACAATCGAGTCTGGAAAAGGAAATCCAGTGATTAACAGCATGAGCATCGATCTACGCAAGTGGGATACGATGACATGTGTCAACCAAGTCAGCGAGCCTGACCACCCGATCCAAGACCAATTCTAATCCGCATCTTCAGGGACCATGTTCAGAGAATTGTGAATAGCTCTCTAGTTCCGTTGACCTTGCGGGCAGATTTTGAGATGGCAGCCATGCGTGCAGTTATGATTGAGTATTCCAACATCAAAGGATGTCACTTCCGTTATTCACAGGCAAAAAAGAACAAGCTTGAATGTAGAGAAATCACGTCACGTGGAGTGAATATAGATTTACGCTGTTTTTAGCAATATTCCACACATTGTATCCACGTGGAGAATCGAACCCGGGTCTTCAGCATGAAGAACGGACGCTTTAACCACTAGGCTATCCCAACCCCTCCCCTAAAGTAGAGAAGTGAGTACAACGTGCAATCGCTTTCGATTTTGTACCTATTCTGGATGTTCCATATGTCTTGCTCGAGGCTATGAACATATGTTCTGATGTTCCTTGTGCAGAACAGTTTAAAGACTGTTGATAAGAGTGAAGAGTCCTTGTTTCCTTGGAATCATAATGAGCCATTTGGTGCCAGGGCCAATAGCAGTCATGAAGGGTTCAACTGCCTCTCCTACCACTCCAATGTCTACAGACTCATGGATGTCGAAACGGATCGAGAAAGCTGACAAACTGAAGATGTGAAAAAGATACGCCGCATGAGTATCTTAGACCGGAAGTAGGACGTCGCCGGAAGGATGACGTCATAGCTTGCCAAAATGACCGGAAGTCACCCCACCCCCCAACCCCTTCCCCTGCCATGACGAAACATTCCTCGACGTCACACTTCAGGTCTAAAATGCTGAAGTCATGAGGCGTACCTTATTCTAAGACGATCCAGTTAGACTCCAGTTAGACCTTCAAACATAGGAAGGAGTGTGGAAGGGTTGACGTTTACTTTGATCTTGACTCAAGACATAGATAACCCAGGGAAGCAAGAACCCCTACAGTACTTGTACGCTGTTTAACGCCTCTGCTATGTCATGTCATGAGGATGAATAAAACATATAACAAAATCATATAAACGCTTGTGTTTACATGACGTGTTTTTATGGATACCTCTTTTTATTCTTTATTGTAAACCAAAAGTCACTATGTTCTTTAATCTGATTGGTTGAAAAACATGATCAAGTGGTATTTGATTCCTGGAAATTTGCTGCGTATTAATACATACAAACATCGCTCACACCATTGTATTGTTACGTCGTCAGCTGTGATGACGTCATTCAAATCATATTGTGACGTAAAGTCCGAATGACGTCAAAAATGAACAGTTCCAGATGCTACCATCGGAGACAGCCGAAACGGCCGGCTGATGACATTTCATTGCTGTACCCGAACTCGGTGTCAATGAGTGCAGACACAAAAATGTGTGTGGACCTTTTGGTTTACTTTTGTGTTTACAATGTCGATAAACATCATGTGTTGGGTTATTTCCGGGTGTTATTGAGTATTTGAAGCACGGGAATATTTCATTTGAAACCTCCGGCTGACGCCGTCGGTTCCAAATTAATTCCCGTGCTTCAAATACTCAATAACACGCGGAAATAACCCAACACATGATGTTTATCTCCTAATACGACGTTTCAGAGCTATTTCCTGCTCCTTCATTAGATGAATGCTAAGTCAGTGCACAGAGTGAATAGATAAAACATGTTTACACAGCGCAAGGTGGGATACCACTGTAATGACAAGACCAAGATGACGAAGGAGGAAGAATTAGCTCTGAAACGTCGTATAAAGAACAAAAGGTTATCCATTAAAACGTGTCATATTGTCATGTTCCCCCAACTCCTAAATGCCTTCAAGAACTTTATACTTGTGTGGCAAATATAAACAAGGCAAAGTGAGCACATATCCTCCTCTTTCACAGCATACAACAATGGTAACAAACAGTCCAGTTATTTATCCCCAGTAATCAAAGACGTGTCTTGGATTAGGGAGTGAGTGAGTTTAGTTTTTCGCCACTTTTATCAGTACTGCAGTAATATTACGGCAAGGTACACTAGAAATGGACTTCACATTGTTCCCATGACATTACGAGTGAACGTTTTAACCAGTAGGCTACACATAGCCCTTACCTTGGAATAAAACTTTTTTCCAAAACACGAAGAAGGCTATTCCGTTGTTCAACCAAGGTAACATACAATCACTGAACCATATCGGAAATCTGGGTTATCTACAAAATGGGATCATGCCTAAAAAGGACGGAAAATAAGGAACCTGTCAAAATAGAGATTAGATATGCATATTAGTTTTGTCTCTTATGCAAGCAATTTAAGTATTCACATAACAGTGAGTGAGTGAGTGGCTGAGTGAGTGAGTGAGATAGTGGCTGAGTGAGTGAGTGAGTGAGTAAGTATGGATTTACTCCGCAATATTCCAGCAATACCATGTGAGGGGACACTAGAAATGGGCTTCACACATTGTATATTCATTGGGGAATGGAACCCAGGTCTTCAGCTTGACGAGCGGACGCTTTAACCACTAGGCTCCTCATTGCCCCTACAAGGGGAATCACTCCTGAGATATATAAAACAATGAGTATTTATCAAAATTATGGATGACATTTCATAACAGCCCAAGAGGAAGAGCTCGCCACAAACTCGAGCAATTATCAAAAGTTATTGCCAGTCACCATTCCACACAAAGTTTCTACAAATACCTCCGAAAGGAAAGTGGACCCTTGTACTTGCAGTCTGATCAGACGCTTGCTTCTGAATGTGATTCTCTATGGTCGATTTTGTGCTGTGTTCAAAGGGCAGATCTGACCTGACCCTTGTCATTTCGGTGAGGTTCATGGGCTGCCAAGTGTATTCCTCATCTAAAAGTAGGAACCAGCTGTTAGTACCACTACTTGTGTTTGCCAGGATTATCAGACTGTTACCAGCCCCCATGCCGCATAATCACAGATGACGTCTTCAAATGTTAACAGTAACAGACCCCTGAAGATCCGGATTAGAATTGGTCTTCATTAACCCGTGCTTGTCGTAAAAGGCGGCTAACGGGATAGGGTGGTCAGGCTCACTGACTTGGTTGACACATGTCATCGGTTCCCAATTGCGCAGATCGATGCACAGGTTATTGATCCATTGTTTATTGATAGCTGGAATATTGTTTATTGATAGCTGGAATATTGTTTAGTGATAGCTGGAATATTGTTTAGTGATAGCTGGAATATTGTTTAGTGATAGCTGGAATATTGTTTATTGCTGAGTGCGGCAATAAACAACAAATAAAAACAAACAAACAAACAAACGACGTCTCAATTGTGGACCTTTACAACTTTCGCCACTTATTCAAATATGAGCAGTCCACACATGACCCAAATCGAGATGATCCTGTTCTATATCTTTCAGAGTTATTTACGTCAGAGGGGTTAAGAAAATCCTGAGGAGGTCATCATTTCCCTGCCAGCTGTCATCCAAGCTGCCCAATATGAAATCATTGTAGTTGTTTCCAACGACAAGCTGATGCAAAAACACAACGCTTATAAGTAAGCCTCAAAGAGCGTGCCATGGGAGATATATCCAATAAAGTCACTTCTAACCCCAGTGTCTTAACTTAGACATTAAATATGCCTTAACCATCAATCAGTACTTTCAAGTTTGGATTTAACTCTAAAACCAGGAAACATTCTACATTACTCTTAAGGACTGGATTCTAAGGCTCCACAGCATCTGTTGAAAGTAGGATATGTTGCTGGGTCCAGTAAATGTACCACAAAGTTTATGTCATAAACATACAATACCGATACAACCAAGGAAGGACCGCTATATATTCACAGAAGAAATGTGAAATGAAAGGCATCTGTTTTCTCAAAAACTCTTTTTCTTCTTTTTTCTCTTTTCTGATTTTCTTTTTAAAAGTTAAGCTCAGAAAGAACAAAGTTTAATTATTTCAAAACATTTCATAAATCCACTGTGTATTATCCTACGGGAGAAGGTTAATGACAAAATTCATTCCTTGGGGCACGGGGTGTTTGTCACTAGTGGTCATTATAAATCCAGTGACAGCTCTATTGTTAAAGATTCACGACAGTATGAGACTAAATATCATGTAAAGAAGGCCGGTCGGGACAACTTAAGAATGGCCAGCGAGTGATAACTTGACACACAGAAGGAAGTAGGTTGCAAAGACATATTTTATTTCGTTGGAAAGATCTCGAGGAGATGAATCCAATTATATAATGTCCAAATGTGTTCATCTCTCCATAAGCTCACAAACTGGCTCTGAAAATGCATTTCTGCAGAAATTTCCGGCAGAATTAATTTTTTTCTGCAGAAATTTCTGGCACAATGTTTATTTTCATGCAGTAATATCTACAAGAATTGTTTTGCTTCAGGAAAAATTAGGTTCTGTCTTAATATGGACTATCTTTAAATGATGGGGTTTTTCCCCTGAAAACAAGGTGGATGGGAAAGTTCCGAGTAGTAGACCCATCACTGATAGATATGTATGAGTGAGTGAGTGAGTTTAGTTTTACGCCGCACTCAGCAATATTCCAGCTATATGACGGCAGTCTGTAAATAATCGAGTCTGGACCAGACAATTCAGTGATCAACAACATGAGCATCGATCTGCGCAATTGGGAACCGATGACATGTGTCAACCAAGTCAGCGAGCCTGACCACCCGATCCCGTTAGTCGCCTCTTACCAAAGTAGAAAATATCTTAATCGTGAGTTATGGTAGGCAGGACATTTTAGTAGAAAATCATCGTTTTCGATTACATGTAGGTCACATATTAAACATAATATTTCTTCAAGAGGTATTCATTCCCACTATTAACTCTCAGTGGGAGTGATCCTTTTAAACAACAGAGTATACGTAATTCTCTGGTCATAATGGTGGGCAGGTAACATTCTGAATTTAATAATGATTTACATCCTTGATAGGTGGTCAATTTTCCAGATTCACAAACGATATTATACCATTCGTACCGATGACAGGTTCGGTGACTTGGTTGACACATCACTGGAATGTCTGGTCCAGATTATTTACAGACCATCGCCAAAAGGCTAGATTATCAGTGACTTGGTTGAGACATCACTGGAATGTCTGGTCCAGATTATGTACAGACTATAACCAAAAGGCTAGATTATTAGTGACTTGATTGACACATCACTGGAATGTCTGGTCCAGATTATTTACAGACCATCGCCAAAAGGCTAGATTATTAGTGACTTGGTTGAGACATCACTGGAATGTCTGGTCCAGATTATTTACAGACCATCGCCAAAAGGCTAGATTATTAGTGACTTGGTTGACACATCACTGGAATGTCTGGTCCAGATTATTTACAGACCATCGCCAAAAGGCTAGATTATTAGTGACTTGATTGACACATCACTGGAATGTCTGGTCCAGATTATTTACCGACTATAACCAAAAGGCTAGATTATTAGTGACTTGATTGACACATCACTGGAATGTCTGGTCCAGATTATTTACAGACTATAACCAAAAGGCTAGATTATTAGTGACTTGATTGACACATCACTGGAATGTCTGGTCCAGATTATTTACAGACTATCGCCAAAAGGCTAGATTATCAGTGACTTTGTTGACACATCACTGGAATGTCTGGTCCAGATTATTTACAGACCATCGCCAAAAGGCTAGATTATTAGTGACTTTGTTGACACATCACTGGAATGTCTGGTCCAGATTATTTACAGACCATCGCCAAAAGGCTAGATTATTAGCGACTGCGGCGTTAAACAACAAACAAACAAACAAACACATCCCCTAGGCAACAATTTTGATGCCTTTGGGGAAAGGTCGTCCCCTAGTGTACAGTACACATCCCTGTGCACTTAAAAGGACCCACGAATCCGTTGGTAAATGAATTCGTGCAAACATCTAGTTGCGGGTACAGCAACGTGCAGTATTCTTGGACAAGGATCTGTGACTATCTGTCCTAGTTCACCCAGTTGTGAATGGATACCTTGTAAGAATGGGAAAGCCACATTAACTCGGTGCGCCCAGGCAGTTGGGTGTGCGGACTAAAAACCCTGTGGACAAAAGCCCCCTAGGACAAAAGTCCCCAGGACAAAACCCCCTTATGATAAAAAAAACCACCATGTAGGACAAAAACCCCTAAAAATCCAAATGATTAATGAAGATAGTTGAGATTGATAATACGATGTGCCGCTTGAGATGAACATCCAGTGATCGAGGGAAAAACAAAGCGCCTTTGAGCAGCTCAGCTGGATATTGGCGCCATACAAATATTAGCAAAATTATTGGTCGGATTGGCAAAATTAATTTGCAAAAGGTATCAAGAAATTAAAAATACACTTCAGGTGTATCGATGATCTGATAAAGTTGTAAAGGTTAACTCGCCACATCCCCTCCACTAATTCATTCACCTGCACCAGAAAATAGGCACATGTTAAAGCACCCCGTCCATTTCATATTCAGATTTATGCATACAAATTCAGAGTGAGAAAAACTATCCACATGACAATGACAGTGACTAGAATGATGACTCCAACTGTCCAATAAACAACGGTTCATTTAAATCAAGCAATATTTCAGTAGCTGAAGTCAGCCCTTCACGTCTACGTTACACACGTATTAAGGTGCAGTCGAGCATGTTGTTTCAAGGTAGATTGAAAGAGCTTCGTGCAACTCTCGTTTCATTAGGGCTGCAAATTTTGATACCTCGTAAAGTTTTCAAAAAGTGTTAATGGTAGACACTGGGAAGACATTTCTATGTTTGACGCATTGGACGACAATAATTATGTCCGATGATATATCATCCATTGTTTTCATTGCCTGTATAGGGACAAGTACATGACAAGCATGGCCTTCTCAGCGTTACATGTGGCCGTGTGTTACAGCAAGCTGTGGCAAGCGTTGTTTCAAAATTTAGCTCTTCTGCATGACGATGTATTTTTGTTATGGAGTGGGTGAGTTAGTTTAGTTTTACGCCGCACTTAGCAATATTCCAAGTATATGGCGGCGGTCTGTAAATAATCAGATCTGGACCAGACAATCCAGGGATCAACAGCATGAACATGTCAATCTACGCAACTGGGATACGAAGACACATGTCAACCCAATCAGCGAGCCTGACCACCCGATCCCGTTAGTCGCCTATTACGACAATCATGGGTTACTGAAGTTCAACTCTAACCCGGACCTTCATGGGTTCTGTCATGGAACCACAATTCAATATTCAACGTCAGTGCAAAGGAATACCAGCCTTGGCTGTCCACAGATTCGTTTGAGTGTAAATTAAAAAATAGCTGTGAAAATTAAATAATAGATTACCATCATTTTAAATGGCTGTTTTGTGCCGGATTGTATGCATGGTAAGGCGCACAATATCTACAGTGACTATCGCTTGACATAAACAGTAACTGGAAAATAACAGACATTTCGATATCACAGTGTCTGTGACGATTTAGTGGAATTAATTACGTAAGAGATTGGTTTTTTCCAAAAATTGACCGGAAGGTGAGGTTTCCGGATATCTGGGGTCCGGGTATCCGAGGTCTCACTGTATCTGTATTTGTATATATATCTATATACCGCACATCCACATTAATCCGAATAGAACTGACATGTTCTTCATACAATCAGCATAGAAAGATCATGCTTAAAGCTATTCAAGATGTATGTGGTAGTAATTTTGTGATTACATTATCTGTTATTTTAAACGGCATTGCAGATCTGACAAATCATAAAAATGAAATCATATTCAAAAATGTACATCAATATATATGCAAATCTAAACGATTCCAGTAGTCTTCTCTCTATACACCTTTTGTATTATAGCATTTCCCCCTGTTATCTTTCAGTTTTTCTCTGTCTC